GGTAGGGTCCAGGTGTGGAAGCTGCCTTCCTGGCACGTCGGTAGCATTGGTGCTCAGCACGGAAAACAAGGGGGCACATTGCGCATCTCGAAACGAAAGACATTTTGTAGGAACACTTGTATGAAAAAGTTTTTCGTTTCGAGATGCGCAATGCCGCCCAAGATCGACGGAAAAAACAAACCAAAGGAAAAGAAAAAAAAAAGCCACTTTTACTCAACCGTTATATCACAAACGAAGTGACCTGCTATTTCAATTTTTCAGTGTACCACATGGCAACACCACTACTATTGGATTGTACCACATGGCAACACTACTACTGGATTGTACTAGCATTTTCACCAAATGTATTAGAATGTTTTGGTTCTATCTCTTTCACTCTACTCAAAACTTTTATTTTTTTTATTTTTTTTTATTTATTTTTTATTTTTTATTATTATAGTCACTTTAACACTCTTGGGTCATTCGTGACTTGTCCGGGGGTGAGATTTGAACTCGTGACTTTGGCGTGAGAGGTATGGATGTTAACCACTACGCCGGGGTCGCCCCCTCCTACTCAAAACTAAAATGCATACAAAAATGACAAAATGATACACTCTTTGCACACTGTCAAAGAATCATTGTACACAAAATCAACTTTGTTCAAATCAAAACAAAAAAAAACTAACCCATCTGGTAGATGATGGCACAAGCTTCCAAGAAAATTCTACTACAGTGAACCACATTATTTTAATGGATTTCTTCGCCAGTTAGTCGTCTGTCACTTCGTTTGTGGTTATATGTAAATACAAGCCAACCTGGCGAACTTAATCAGCTTTTTTTTAGCTTTTCAAACAAGCTCTTGTGGCACGTATTACATATTGTTTATGCTTCTATACTGCTGCTTAGTTGGGTGTGAACTTGAAAGGCGCTTATCAACCTTTTCCTAATTATTTAAAATAATGACTATACAGCTTTATATTGTAGGCGAGTTAAATATTGTTTATTGTTGTTTTTTAAATTAGTTAATTTTACATTTTACATAATGAGAATTATTTTCGTCGAAATTGGTAAGAAAGGTATGCAGATATTTTCACGCCAGTTCTAAATGTAGACGTAGTGACGTTGGTAGTGTCAAAATTTACCAATGCGGTCGATCAGTGCCGTATTAACGATAAGGCGATGGTGGACTAAAGCCAAACATGAGGTTGATATATTACAAATTCTAATGCTTGGTATTCTTTTTGTTCCCAACCGTACACAACTGTACGTCAACTTAGAGAGCATACAGAGAAGAAAAAAAAAACTTAATTTCACAGAGAAAGTAGTGAGCACTTCCCAATTAGTTTCCTCTTTTTGAGGAGTAGGTAAAGAGCAAATCGATATAGTGAATAAAAAATTCAGATTTTACCTCTCAGAATTCCATGTCACTTTGCGTAATTGTTCATGGGAAACATAATAAATTTGTGTCATTTTTTCTAACACCTAAATTTACAAAACGGATTGCCTTTTCAGAAAAAATACACACCGTAAAAAAACACAAATTATGGTAAACAAATAAAAGGAAACCACTAAAAACTTCAATATCCACATATTTGCCTTTTATAATTTTTAATCTAATTTTTATTTGAAAGCCTATGAAAAATGCTAACTTTCCAGATATTGGACACATTAAAATTGATAAAAATCGTAGCAAATTAACTTTTAGCAAACCTTTTTAACTTCTTATTCTTATGAAGAGCTTTGAGTGTGTTGATTTATTTCTTTTTAATTCAGTTATAATTGCTTATCTTTTGACAGATACGCGTATTTCGTCTACTACTTGCAGCCTTCATCAGTGTCAAGTACTCAACACCACTGAAGAATCCATCTTTTATCTACGAGTTATATACTAATCTTATTCTTGCAAAAAATTTGTTTTGTGCAAACAAAGGATTTTTTGCACAAAAAGGATCTTCCAAATAGGATTTTTGGCACAAAAACAACATGAGCAGTGAGTTTTTGTTCTAACTTTATTTTGGGAGTTAGATATTGGACCATCATCATCATAAATGGGTTAGAATCATCATAATATTAAACTATTGCTCAACCCACAACAAAGGCTCATCATAAGGATTCCGTTTAATGGCTTATTTTATTATTTTGGTAGAAAATATGTGTTGAATTGACGTAACTTTTTTTTTAATAATTTTGAAATATAAGCTATTATAAACACATTTGTTTTTATTTTAACTTAATGTTGATAGTTGAAGATGCTAATTTCAAATAACAGATTGTAGTGGTAATTTTTATACGATAGATGGAGTAGATGAAAGCATAGAGTTGATAGTTCCGTTAGAGTACGGCAGTGTGAAGATTGCATATAGATATTAGAATAGCGAGCTAGGACAACTTTTAAGGAAGGTACGAAGGTGTTGATGCCTTAAAAAAAATTAAATTTTAATTTCTGTGGCCCACTAAGCTGTCATTATTTGCATAAAAGTCCCATGTAAATAAGAATCCCACAGAACATGGGACTGTTATGCGAATAGTGGCATTAAAGTACAGCTCGCGACACATCAGGGGGCTGCGATCCATAGATTGAGAAACGCTTATCTAATCATTGTTCTTATGGGTTTATTAGATTGTGCTCTGCTGCACAAATTGTCAAGTCTTGGACATAATGTATCATTTCTAAGTAAAAATAGATACAATATTTTTGATAATATCATGTGGTCTAGTTGAAGCGGAAAGAACACATGTTTTGATCGCACGCAAATAATAAAGAATCAGGAGGAAATGGATGTAATGTCGGCCTAAATGCCCCTAATTTGGGCCAAAACATAAATTCAGTAATCGACTAAATGTTCAATAGCGATCAAAAATATCCATTAGCACCGTCCCAATAACTGCCTAATTTCCAAAAACTGAATAATAAATTGTTTATTTTGGAGTTGAGTTTCTAAATCATTTATTTTGTTAATAATATATTAGTGAATAGCAAAAATAATCTCGGAGTTCTACGTCAATAATGCGGTCGTGCTTTGGACACAACCCTTAACTTTTTTTTAGATGGCGGGCTTAAGAGGCCTATAGGATGTTTCATTTAGGAAAGGTATTTGCAAACTAATAGTTCACCTACCAGTTTTATTCATAGCCTCAACATATGCGCCTGTGCAAAAACTGATAAAGGTTTAGAGGTTGCACAAATGGTTGGAACTTTGTATGGAGATTTTAGCGAATTACTACTGAAATTTTTTGAATTTCACTACATCGCTCTATCTTTGGTTCAAGTTGTTGAATATGGAGGTGGACCCATAAGATTGCAAATACTAGTTGATTCAATAAGCAGGATTACTAGTTCAGTACTTAACTTTGATGTGCATTAATTTTTGTTGCTTTCTTCTAAACCATATTATTCAAAATGCTACCCGGGTATCCCGTTACACACATAAAGGTTAAACAAACATTTCAGCATACTGCAGCCCATACACACCTGGTTGTAAGCTTGATTCTTCGACTAGTTGCCGGATCTCTTTTCAACCTTTTCATCAATCGAGCAAAACTTTTGCAACTGCGCCACACACAATTCAATCTGCTATTTGACTTGTACGTCAACCTGTTGGCCAACCCATTTAAAATACACGCGATGTTTGTGCGATTTCCCCATACACACTGCAACCCAGGTTGGCAGATTCTGACCACCTGAAATCAAAACGTTTCGATTTTACTTCAACCGGTTGACCAACTGTCAATTTTGTCTAACAACCACTCCAAATCGAGCATCAACCCAACCTGGTTGTCAACCAGATTGCAGTGTGTTTGGGGCCAACAAGAATGACGTGTAGTAGTAAAATCCAGCATCTGAATCTTCTTAAAATACTGGTAGAAAGCGTCAAGACCTTTTTGAAGATACATTTTTTTCTATTCCTTAAAAAATCAAGCTACTTTGATCATAATCGCATTACCTGAGGCTGAAAATCTCTTTAATAAAGGAGAAAAAAACCTTCTGCTCAGGTTTGCTGTCACTCACTTGCTATAAAAAAAAATGTATTTTGAAATGATGAAATCAGAAGACGTTAAGTTGGGTTTAAACAGGGCAAGTCAATTGATCAAGTCAGTTGAATTCAACTGACTTGAACGCGAATTGAACCATGCCATTCAACTGACTTGATCAACTCACTTGAATTGAAAAAAGTTGAATCAGGCTCAACTTTTCAAGCCAATTGAATTCAACTGAGTTGATCAAATGACTTGCCTAGTCTAAACCCAGCTTTATAATGATAATCATTTTTTTTGTAAGTTAGAAGAAGAGGTTGGAAAGTATGTGTTTGCGCATAAAACCTGTCAATATTGCTTTCAGAGCGTCACAATAAGTGATTTTACGATTTGTGAGCGCTCATTTTGAGTAAACGCTCATGTATCATACAATCGCTGATTGTGATACTCTGAAAGCGAAGGTTTTATGTGTCAAACACATACTTTACAACCACTTCTTGTAACTTACAAGTAAACAATATTATTACAATGTGTAATGATTTCATAATTCCGGAAAACATTTTTTCATAGCAAGTGAGTGGAAGGAACTCTGATTCTGTTTTATTAATTTTCAACGCGCATAAAAAGATAACATCTTATGTATATATATATATATTTAGGTTTGAAGTTTGAGAATTTTAAGATGCTTTATTATATAATATATAATATTATATAGCTATAACGTCAACAGAGAATGCAGATTTTGCTTGACATTATTGCAAATTTGTTATAGAATCGTGCAATCAGCGATTGAGTGTAGAATAACAATCATATGTGTTTGTTTTAAATGGATCGTTGTTGTTTCTCCACTTCTTTTCCAATATCTGTTGATCAGAAAAAATGAATTCAATGGAAACATCCAAAAATACGACACCGATTAATTCAAATTCAATCATAGTCGCCCCGCGGTTGAATTTTAATGACAATAACAGTCGAACCGGACTTTGGGGCTGACGGAAATTGAAAACATGAAAAAATCGCATAGAATGAAACCGAAAATATCTTACCTGTATCAAACTGGAAATCAATACTAGTGTGAGCGAGATGCACGATGTTTTATATCCAAATATGGCAGCAGTTGAATACATGTTTATACGTTGCTATATATATAGATGTACAGATTTATAGATGTGTGTTTGTGTGATGGAATTGTGTTTCTCCTTTTTGTTTTTTCTATACTTCCACTTTCCTTCCCTTTGGCTTTCTGTGACTGCTTTTCGTTATTACAAAATATAGACTTCTCAGAATGATGGAAACGAATTTTTGATGATATTACACCTTGCAGGCTGCAGCGATACGATCGGTGTGAATACGCGCGAGACAGTGTGGTGGGGGAAGATTTGAACTCGCAAAACACAGAGAGAGGAGAAGGGGATTCACTATTTACGCCAGAAACTTTAGCTAGCTGTACAGATTTTGCCCGTAGACACGATTAAACTTGTGAATTCCATTTAATGCATTTTCACTTTTCTTCATCTTGCTAGCAATCTTGGTGCTCATTGTTTCACTATTTTTTCGCTCACTCTCTTCTGTACCCTGCCGTCACTTGTATACATGACTACGATAAAACACAGGCAGCTTGAAATTTGATATTATTTCATTCATTTTTATATCTGCTTCATTTCATACACACATCCCGTCACCTATTCGCTGTGTCGCCACGCACGATAATTGCCTCGGGCCATAATTTCCTCAGTTACTCCTATCCGACGATAGTGCTCTGTGCTGAACGTATGGGGTCACGTACATATATCCATTGGCATTTTTCAAAACTTTATGATCCGACGGTGTTTGAATGGCGCTTAAAGCGATGATAAAGTTGGGAGATTCGCTAGAATTGCACGCACTAAGGACGAATCCTAGGCCTTAAAAGCTTATTAGTTCACACACGCCAGCAGGGTGATGATGTTGATGACACGGTGATGAATTGGATACACAATTTTTCAACTTGCAACGAATGAGAAACGAATAAAAAAAATATATGTGTGCGAGATTTCACTCTGCGCCCACACGGACAAACAGATTTCTACGCGACGGCGAACGGACGATACGCGGACCTGCTCAGCTCGGCTCTCGTGCTACTCTCAGACTGATTGCAAATGTTTGATGGAGCCATGTCCAAACGTCAAGCTTTTCGTATAGGACTATAATTTCAGAAAATGACAGACACTTGACTCGAACTCACGTCTCATTTTCGAACAGTCGACGATGGTGAACAGAACTGAAAACGCAAGGTCTGCCTCATGCGCATGTGGGAGGTGATGTTGCATAGTTATGTATGCGTGTGAATGAGTTATGCTATGCTGAACACTGGGGGTGCAAAATACGGTGTAGAACAAGCAACAGATGATACGTAGTAGCTACATTGGGGATCGGGTGTATTGGTGTAGAATACAAACTTAATGATGATGTAAAACCTTATCGAAAGCTTATCCTGATCGGATGTATGGTTCCGGAGATGTGAACAAATATGTGAAAATTTGCAATCAAACCCAACAAACATTGAATGTTGAATAAGAGCTTATTCAGGCAAAATCAAGTTTCTTCAGCTAAAACATAGCTTATTCAGCTGTTGATCAACTCAAATTGTTTGTTGGGAACTGTAATACTCACTCACTTTTCTCGGATACCAATTCGAGTGCAACCGGTTTAATTTTGTTTGCATTTGACTTCAACAGAACTTTTATGTTTTTTTTCCCAGTTGGTCATTCGGTTCCGGAGCTATGAAATTTTTAATCACTTTCCTCGGAGATGGTTGGATCGATTTGTGTACACATAATTACTTACCCTAGCAGTTTTGGGACGACCGTCCATCATACAATTGAAATTGAAAAAAAATGCATTTTAAATAATGCTTCTATCATTGTTTAAAACACATTGCTGTTTGAAATGCATTAAGCTTGCGACTATTTTTGTCCAAATGTCCTATAGAATGCAATATTTTTGAAACTATAGTTTATTGCTTAAATTATTATTTAAATGAGTAGCATAAATGTTTGGTAAAATAAACAAAATTTATAAACTTAAACACATAGTCATTCACGGATTGCAGCACCAAAAAAAAAACGTAGCAAAACTCCAGTGTAGGTAGCATCTATCGCGGCAGGTGGAAGTCGTATACCTACGAGCCTCAATTGAACACTCCCTGTATGCCGCCGATTGCTTCATGTTGTAGTTAGTGCGACGAAGTGGTAATCTCAAAATAACGTTGTTTCGCAGCGATCGTGGTTGAACGGATACCTACATTAATCTGCTCCAAGAGAGCGGGTAATCTATTCTGCCCTTTAGGCTATCCGCACAAGCTATGTCTGAAGGCACTTCTTATGCAACTTTAATTAATAAGTTTTTTCTTCCCAGAAAATTAGTATTGATTCTAGCAGTTAAATCTAAAAAGGTTTTAAAATATTTAATATAGGGTTTTTTGAAAAAAAAAATGTGTTTTGAAGTTTACATAGCCGTTTATGAAGGCGTATAGGATCTATTTACGATACAAAACTATTACGGATCGAACAAATGTAGTTAAATAAGTTTCCAAAGTTGTATGAAGTAATCCAAATGACATTAAAGAGTTCTCTTTTACTTTCAAATAAGATTCGTTTTGTTTATTTTTTCAAAAATGAAGTAAAGAAAGTATTGACCACCATTTTGTTTAATTTAATTTTCCTCATATGAGTAAAAGAAAAAGAAACGTACAGGACAGTCCAAGACAGCCGTAGAAATCATAGTAGGCATTGATTTTTTGTTCGGTTTCGAGTGTTTTTTTTATAGATGTAAGCAAATCTGCTTTTGTTTTCCCATTGTGCTTCGTAAAAACTAATCCGTTTAAACAAAGATGACACCATTTTAGTAGCGAATATCGTTGAAAGATTTTTACCGGAGTTCAATAAAGAAGATAGTAGCTATCCGCTCTCAATATCACGCGTGATTGAAACAAAATATCATGTTGGATATTGATTTTACAAGCTCCTTTCATATTGACAAGCTATTCACAACATGTAAAAATGAAGCTAAGAGTTGACTCAACTCAAAAATAATTCCATTGTACATCGTTTTCTTAGAAAGAGAATGTATAGTTTGCTATCTCTCTTTACTCTTCAGTGGCGTCGCCTTAACCTCCATCTACCTGTGCACCAACTCTCAAAACATAAGCAATTATCAAAATATTGCTTGCAATGGATAGATATCGAGTTAACTAGAAGATTAAGTGTGTTTTTCAACCGATTCGAGTATGAATATGGCATTAAATCTTTTTTGAAAGTTGGTGCACAGGTAAAAAGTGAGGTTACGCGACGCCACTGCTCTTCACTGATGGCCGACACGAAGCTACTGCTGCCAGCAGTCACGGTAGTTTCGGGTCGTGTTCGGGTGTAAAGCAAAAGTCATGAAACTTATAGCTAATTCGTTTATTATCGGGGTGCGGAACCGAACTTGTTGTCAATGCGAACCTCAACCTGAGCTAGGTTCTAAAAACAAACGAGCAAGCTAACGTTTGTCAGAAAACAAGCAGCTCGCTGCTAGCAAAAACGCTCACCAGCATAATGTAAACAGGGCATCAGCGTCTACCAGCATGAAATTTCAGGAGCAACTGAAATTCGTGCTATTTGGCGAGTACACTAGCGCGAGTAAATCCACGCAGATGTAAACACCTCATTAGAATTGTTGCTGGTGAGTTTTGTCAGCTTGATATTCGTAGCTACGATATTACAAGCTGAGTTGCTTGCTTGTTGATTTTTGTCCACGAAAATCATGCATGATCTTGGACATGGGTGAGATAGAGATTTGATTTTTTGATATTTTCCCAACACTGCACAGTTCGAAAAAGTTGTGTAAATTTCTGTTCAATATGATGCACATAAATGGAGCGTCACATATCATATACGTTTACATTATATATCATGTAAAGCTCTGACACATTTCATGCAATGCAGCAAATATTGTATACAAAAGCTCATATTTGTAAGCAACATTGTTTGCAAGTTGCTCGGTTGCGTGAAATGAAATACAAGTCTACGTGAATGAATGTTTATATCACAATTAAAATTCAGAATTTTTATCTGTGTGCGACGCATGTTACATTGCCGTTTACCGGTGTAAAAAAAGTGGACAGCCAAAGAAAATTGAGGTACACAGATATCCTGAAAAAAATATGCTAACAAGAAGTTCATACCATCTTGACCATGACCTCTGTCAAGTTGCACAATTAAAATGTGTAGATTATGTGTAAAAAAAGAACTATAGCAAAATTAATACAATTCCATTGAAATTTGCAAAGCATGTCTGAAGCAGGTTTCTGCTGCACACTTAGAAATAACTAATTTTACACGTGACGGAATCCGTCTTTGACATAAAAGATGAGACGTAAACAAACATGTCATGTAATATTAAGTGCTCCGAGACTAAAAAGTGGGTTGCTCGACGAAAAGTACGTTTGATTGAGTTGAATTTCGCGTCTGTTATGACTCAAATTTATGTCAAAATTGACGCTCGTATATGTCACTCTCAGAGCACCTAAATTTACATGAACTTTTCTAAAGCTGGGTTTAGATTAGGCAAGTCAAATGATCAACTCAGTTGAATTCAATTGACTTGAAAAGTTGAGCCTGGTTCAACTTTTTTCAATTCAAGTGAGTTGATCAAGTCAGTTGAATGACATGGTTTACACGTTCAATTTGCGTTCAAGTCAGTTGAATTCAACTGACTTGATCAATTGACTTGCCCTATCTAAACCCAGCTTAAGTGTGTGGGAAACGTCATGCATGTAGTGAAAACCGGAAACTCTCTCTCCGAATTGGCAGACAAAAGTAAGGACCACTATGTTGTCAAAAATATTAGGGAGGTAGCTAGCAAAAAACTAGGCGAGGCTAATTTTTCAAACGTCACAGGAAGACGAATGCGTTTAAATTTTAAACAGTCAGGAACAAAATCTAAGCTTTCTTACGAAGATAAACTCAGAATTTGGACAGATCTAAATCTGAGTGTTAATAAGGGCAGTATGTAACAGTTAATTATCTTGGTATTTAACAGATACTAAAATTAGCTAAAACTATCCAGCCCGGCTTCAAATAAGCTATGAGCAACATGATGTCCGAGCTCGAAAATTTCTTTTCTGTGAAATATTGTAAAATATAAAATATGAGCGAAAGAGTACAGGAAAAGACTTAGAACTTAGCGATGGTATCGTATAATAGTGCTCATTTGAAATAAACTCCTTTTCTTGACCGCACCAAGTTTTTTAACACTTTCAATGAGTATTTGTGTAAAGGTTGATAAGAATGGATAAATCAGATGAAATTGATAAAAATAGTAAATTCAGAGAGCAAAACCATTGCTGAATTATTTTATTAATAAAATTTTTATGAAATCATGACAATGTCACGATATCTGTCACGGGAATCTGACTGTACCATTGAAACTTAGTATTTTAACTACTTTAGTTCCCTTTTTAACAATGTTCAGCTGAATTTGTTTCAATTCTTAATAGTTTAGTATCGTCAATAGTCCCTAAACGTCTTCATAAACGGCCATGTAAACTTCAAAACCCTTTTTCTTAAAAAAAACCCAAGATAAAATATTTTAAAACCATCACAGAATTGATTGTTGTGATCAATACTAACTTCTTGTGAAGAAAAAATGAGGTTCATGAAAGTTGCATACAAAGTGCCTTCTTGCATAGCGTGCCGCTTTGAGCTAAGCCCTACAAGTATCCCTATAAATTCTCAGGGGTGTCAGCATCTGACTTTCATAGTATCTCTCCACGGCTGCTTCCGCAATCCGAATCGAAGAAAGCGACGATGAACCAGTGCCACATTTTTCTAATTTCAATCTGTATTTTCACCGTAAAAATAATTTTCTTCTATATCTGATTGACAAAAATATGTATGATTTCTTTATTATATGGATCTACGTAAATCTCCCTTGAGTTCATTCAAAGTTCAAAAAAAGTTTGTTCAAAGTTTAGAATCTTGAAAAGTGAAGTTTGCTTTCTAAAAAATGTATCTATTTAAAACATCTTGAAATCCTAGAATCTTTATTTTCTAAGTAATTTATATCTTTTCTAAAAGTTTAAAAATAATAAAATAAATCAAATCCCAGTAGCGAGACCAACCTGATTCCGGCTGAACATTTTTTTAATGAAGCGACATTCACATTTTCCTAGGATTTGTTTACATCAAAAATTTTGGAAATATTTATTTGGTTATTTGTTTTTTTTTTTTAATATTTTTGATATACAATTAAATTGTTTTGTTTGAAATTTATTTTTCTCCAATTCTTCTAATCAAACCAGATTGTAATTTTATTTAAGCGTTTGGCAGATTAAAAGGATATTGAATTAGCTTGTTGCTGCTCGAAACTATGTGCACTTAGTAGTTGTTGTCAGTAAATACCTGTAAAATACATTAGAATAGTTCCATCGGAATATCTCAATGTGCATTTTCTGTGTTATCAATTGTCTTGCATTTTGTCACAATACAAAACTTTAATTTGGAAGTTCCCTCTCCTTGGCTAGTTTTTTAACCTGGACGTTGGTGGGTGGGCCTAATCTTATGCTTCATAGTGCAGCGTTGGAGACGGTTGGTTTAGGTCCGGCATCGTTGGCTCATGCCGTGACAGAATAGCGTCATGAGTATGCGATGAGGATTACTGAGCTTCCCCTCTCCGATGAACCATTGCATAAGAGAACCAAAGTTCTAGCCTGAAGTGATAGTATCACACTTGTTACTCCTTTATTTGAAAGCCGCGTTGTAGTACGCTTACGTATAGGCACTGACGTTGGGTGCGATACTGGCGGGTTTTGCCGCAAATCACTCTTATTTTATTTATTTTTACGTGGGTGTGCAAGGGAATTATACTATTGAAATATTTCAGAAAGTGCCCAACAGTGCTCCTTCTACTTGCGTGACAAGCTTTCGTTGTTGTTTTCATTGAGGTATTACTCAGGGAACAATGTTAAACGCTGTCCAGACTGGAGAGTTATAACATGTTATAACGGTTGTCAACTAATTGCAACACAGAAACCACCATCAAGATAGCGCTATAACATGTTATAACTCTGTAGTCTGAACGTACTATTAAACACCATTTTTGTACATGGTATTGCAACTAATCTTATATGTGCTTCATTTTGATTTGGGATAAGTGTTTGAACTATGGCTCGGGATTTCCACTGTGGCGCGCTTCTGTTGTGACATAACCATACGTATTTTTGTGGTGCGACATAGTGGAAACGTGTGAGCGTAGTTGAAGCATATTCCCTATGTAATTTAAAAATCAGCTAGGAAACTAACTTTAAAGTGAAGCATTTTAGTCACTTGAAGGTGTCACCTGGGACGAACTAATATATATTAAATATAGGTCAAAGTCAAAAACAACTTGAAACACGTTAAATTTTAGATTACATGCACAGGTTAGGTTAGATTAGAGATTTCAATTATTTATTAAATTAGGCTAATGAGATATCATAATCATCAAACAAACTTAAATAAGGAAATTTAGACAGCCTAATAACATTAAGTAGATTAACAAAAGAGTTTGGATGCGGGGGGTCTGCTTAAGGAGGCAACTAGCCTTTAAAGCAACTGGCAACTAGCCTTTTCATGTATTGTTTGTTTATTTTGATTATTGCTTTAAAATATCAATTTGGTATATATGTGAAAGGATGAATCAGTGGGAGATGGATTTTCGGTTTCTTTACATTTATCATCACTATGTGTCATTTCCTCAAAACCCCCCAATAACCGGCCTCTTCAATCCCTTCCTTTTCCCATGGCGTTCAAGTGGTCCGCATAGACTATTCAGCCATTACCCGTCCTTTATCCTCGGCTTTGGATTGACTTGCGCTCCCATTGCCCCACCAAACGCTGCAAAATGAAAATGAAAATGAAATATAAAACTTTAATTTGGAAGTTTAGTCGAATAGCATACTTTGTTATTTGTTCAGATATGACAAATGTCAACATACCCAACTAACAATTTTCACAATGTAAACGCCTTGCTCATTTCATTTATACAGCCTCAAGCTGTATTCAAATGCTATACGTTATAAGGTAACGTTTACTTAACCTCTTTACAAGCAAATCTGGCAAACTTAGTCAGCAACTTATGGCTGTTGGGACGGTTGTGACAAGCTCTTATTGCATATCAATTTTCGCTTCAATACAGCTATTAATATGCTGTTTAGTTGTGTGTGAACTTGAATGGCGGCTATTCGAGATTATTCAATAATCACTACACAGCTTTATCTTAAAGCCGGGTTAAATATTGTTAACTTTTTTTTGGTGGAGGAATTTATTGATTTTATTTGGTTCGAATCAAATTACTCGAAATTAGTTATAAGCAAGTTTGCAAGTTGGAACGCGCTTTATGTTTGATATTCCGGCCTTTTACTTTTTTTATATATATAACGCTGTTATAATAATTATCGACCAGAAAAATATCGTCAAGATAAGCATATAACACGTTATAACTGCTCAGTCTGGTCAGCGCTTTACCCGATGTTTCTTCATACTTCATTTTCTGTTACACGGCGAATGAGAACGACACAAATTTGAGTTTAGTTAAATAATAAATCACATAAAGTGCAGGAACTCAGCGATGAGTAAATTTGTCTCATATTTTCCTAGGTTTTTCCAGAAAAAACATCCCAAATATGAGGAAAGTAAAGATTTGATTCACTCAGTCTATTGGTACTACTCATAGACTGAATAAAATTTTCGTCAATTTCCTCAGTTTTCCAGCAGATTTCTTAGGTTTTCCACATGAAAGCATGAGGCAAATTTATTAATCGTCGAATTCCTGCACTTTTGGCGATTATGAGTGAACTAAACTCAAATTTAAGTCGTTCTCATTCGCCGTGTAAATGCAGTTTTCGTCTTCACCATGTTTTCATGCATTCATATTTGTTTGACTACGGGGCGAGCTACGGGATACAGTCGATCTGCTCCTTACAGTTAGTCGTTAGTCTACCGAGGGTTATTTTCATAGGCACTATGACATTTATACAACTTCATATACGACCGATGAGATGGCCTCAACATTGAGTGGTCAATGAGTGGACTGAGTAAATTTTACGATTTTCCAAGAAATGCTTCTCAATGTTAGGAAAGTTGAGAGAGGTTTCACACAGTCTATTAGTATACTCCTAGACTGGCTAAAACGTTCGTCGATTTTCATCATATTCGAACAAATTTTTGAGGAAATGCACGAAATTTTTTACTCAGTCTGTGAGTTACCTGCATTTTTGCGATTTGATTGAAAACCACTCAATGTTCAGTTATCTCATCGGCCGTGTTCCTCATGCAGCTTGCATTAAATATTTAAAACAAGCTGCACACATTCCAACACGACAGTTGAATCTGATAAAATTTCAGTTTCGTTTATTCAAAGTCGCAAAAACACAAAAACTCGCTCGAAAGTCGACGAAAATTTTAATTGGTCTATCAATATACTTCTATACTGAGCAATATTTTTCTTTATTTTCCTAATAATCACGCAAATATTTAAAGAAAATCGAAAACAATTTTACTCAGTCTATACGTAACCTGGATTTTTGCGAATTTGAGTAAATTGCACTAACATTTGTGTTGCATTCAACGGCTGTGTACAGAGCAGTAATATGTGTACAGTCAACGAGATCAACTCAAAATTGAGTCGGATTTTACTCAAAAATATGCTTGTTTCACGGCCGTTGAGCTTTTTCATATTTGAGTTCCATTTACTCAAATTCGCAAAGGTCACTCATGGAGTAAAATTTTTCTCAAATATGATAAAAATTTCACTCACTTTGAATGACATTACTCTTATATGAGTAATTTTTTTTGGTATATTTAGGTAAACATTTTCTTTGTTTATAGAGATTTTCTCGTCCGGTTGTATTGGTGCGATATGTGAGAACGTGTTAGTGAAAATCCGAGGAAAATACATATCATATCGGTTAACTCATTTTGGCAGATCTAATTTCATACATTTTTTAGGTTAGCCAGAGGAAAATAATAAATAACTTTACACGACGATGCACCCGCTAGCGTGCGTCGCTAATCTCTAATGAGAGACCTACGTTTTAGCGAATTTCAGTAAATGGAACTTAAATGTGAGTAGATTTAACGGTTGTGTAACAACCTACCCGACTTGTGTACAAGTGCGAGAAATAAACACGGCCGCAGAATTATACTTAAATTTGAGTTTTTTTTAACTCAAATTCGTAAAGCCATGCATGCCGAATACATTAAATTATAAAAAAAATGCAGATTGCAATTCTAAATGAATACCGCCTTAAACATTTTATTCATGCAATACGGTACATTAACTTTCAAACCCTCATCGTAAAAAAACTACTTGTTTTTAATTCAAAATATTTTCAGAATGAAATGATTTTTTTAAGCTCATCAAAACATAAGGAATTACCATTTTGTATGGTATAGATAGTACAGATAGATGTACCATTGATAGTTGTATAGATAGTTTTACCATTTTTCTATATTAGTTGTTGGGGGTTATGGAGTTAAAGACAAAACTATAGAAACACAAAATAATCATTTTAAATACGACTGGGGCTACTAGCACCGATCTTAACTTAGGTTGTTTGTCAAGGCACCTTATTGCCAAATGCCAAGCTAAAGGTGGCGAGTTCGATTCGATTTAAATACAGACATTATTGGTCAATTAATCTCTGTAGAAGTGCTTTAAAGGCGCTCTTACACATCCCTGCTGTTAACTAAATCTTATTTTGGAGCAGGTATGTGTAAGAGCATCACAGCCAGAAAAAAGAAGTTCTAAGCACTTTCAGAAAAGATGTTCATTGCAAATAAACTCTCTCAGATGGATTTGGGGTCCTTAGAAGGACCAATTTCAAAAAGGATGCCCTGAAAATAGAGAACGAAATGTTTCAAGAAAATATAGAACGCTTCATCGCCTGTTTAAGCTCGCTCTCCACGGATGCGACGGGCCAGCTGAATGTCCTTGGGCATGATGGTCACTCGTTTGGCATGGATCGCGCACAGGTTGGTATCCTCGAAGAGTCCCACCAGATATGCCTCGCTGGCTTCCTGCAGGGCCATGACGGCTGAACTCTGGAAGCGAAGATCCGTCTTGAAATCCTGTGCAATTTCACGAACCAACCGTTGGAAGGGTAACTTTCGGATTAGCAGCTCGGTGGACTTCTGATAGCGACGGATTTCTCGTAGAGCGACGGTGCCTGGGCGATACCGATGAGGCTTCTTCACACCACCGGTAGCCGGAGCGCTTTTGCGAGCGGCCTTGGTAGCCAACTGTTTCCTAGGAGCCTTTCCTCCTGTGGATTTACGAGCCGTTTGCTTGGTACGAGCCATTTTTCTTATAAGTTGTTGGTTCCGAACGTATCCTGAGTGCAGTTTAGAAGTTTACTGACATTCAAGGAAGACGATGCGCTATTTATAGCTGTTTTTGGGTACATGCTGTGAATCTCAAAGGGAAGACGTTCTATGTGTTTCTTACCGTTGAAGCAGCTGTTGAGCAGATGTTCAGTTTTTGCCCCTATGTATACTGCTTTTTTATCGTTAGAAAATTTAAAGGGATCAAAATTGCGCATTACGCTGTCTTTTGTCATTCGTTACATAATGCCCCTATTTTTTTTCTAAAGGGGAGTTTAAATATTCTTGAAGGAAACCAAGGAACACATTTTTCATTTATTTTGCTCATCTATCAAGTTAAATTAAAAAAAAAAATTTATTGATGACACATCTAGGTCTGCTACTGATTTATAGCGAATTCGTTTATTATTCAGTTCCAACCTGGATCGGGTATCAAGATTGGGTCTGCTTGTTTTCTGACAAACGTCAGTTTGCTCGTTTGTTTTTAAAACCTAGATCAGGTTGAGGTTCGCACTGACAAAAAGTTCGGTTTCGCCCCGATAATAAACGAATTCGCTATTAGATTTGTCTTAAATTGTTGCACGTTCCTAATTGACCGATGATCGAATGCATCTTACGCCAACATTAAACACGCAATCAAATTACAATTGTTACCCAATCGACCAGACAATAAAAATGAATTGATTCCTCACCTCACGGCCATTAAAAAAACAGCAAAGTTTGATTTAATTTCCGTTTGTTTAACATATAGTTACTATGCTCATCCATGGTAGTACCACGCAGGAAATGCGTAGCAAAACAAATCGGACAAGGAGCTCGCTGTTTTGGTGGCAAACTGTCAATACTAATGGCGATACTGAGTATGTCGATTTTTGCAATGGTTATGATATTTGGTCTACTCGTTCGATCAGCTGCTGCGGCTGCGATGCCGGGATGGGAAGAGGCGCAAATCAATCATGTGTAACACTACAGTCATTTACAATGCGAGAGGTAATCCAAAAGCAGACGATGTGCATTGTGATGAAGTTGGCAACGTTACAAATTGAATGTTGCTGTACGATGTCGAGTCAATGTTGTCGACTAATTGATGGTTGCTGCTATTGGGGCTCGATTGTGTAGAAAACTATCAAGTGTTTGATGAACTATTTTGAAACTAGATACTGATTTTATATGGCATGTTTTGATTTTGACATGCAATGTTCATTAGTTTTTTTTTTCTGCATCGATCCAATCCAGGGTTGTGTAGTCGAAGTCGGACTCCGACTCCGACTGATATGAAATATAATATTAACTAGAACGTCCTGAAAGTTAGTCCACGTGCAACTTTTTTGGCTCATGATCAATTCGATTGAATTTGAATGGCAGTTATGAAACATAAATGAACCGTACAAACCTAGCTTTACTGGTGACTTCGATCGAACAAAACTCCTCATTTAGCAGTTTAAAACTTTATTGATTTATAGTTTGTATTACTTGAGCATTGGCGTACACACTTAGAAATACCTAATTTTACATGTGACGGAATCCATCTTTGACATAAAGGATGAGACGTAAACAAACATGTCATGTAAAATTAAGTGCTCCGAGACTGAAAAGTTCGTTACTCAACGAAAAGTACGTTTGATTGAGCTCAATTTCGCGTCTATTATGACTCAATTTTATGTCAAAATTGACGCTCATATATGTCAGTCTCAGAGCACCTAAATTTACATGATTTTTTTAAGTGTGTAGCTAGAAAATTTATCTGGAGAGGGCCTAGGGGAGGCCTGTTCCATTTATTTATTTTGCTAAATTATGGTTAAATAAAAACTCGCGAAGATGCTATTCAATCAAATAGCGTCAAGGTAACTTATTTTTGGGTATTTTTTTTCCTGTGACCAATAATATGGCATTGAGTGAGGCTTACTATTATTTTAATGGTTAAACAAATATGATTATATTTATTTCATAACAATGATTGGGACCTCGATTTTCGAAGCTTACTGATTTTGATCGTTTGTTCATGCCTTTTTGTAATTAAATCACATAGCGTCCGGATCTCATAAATTTAAGCATCTTAAAGTTAAGAAAATTCTCTCCCCTCCCCATGGACATGGAGGTTGACGGTACTGAAGCAAAGGGTTATGTTTAATTTCTTTATATTTGCAACGATGATGATTTCCTATAGTGACACATATCACCTTCTTAATGCTTCAGTATGCCTCAAACGATTAATTCTTGGTTGTTAATAGAACTTCCTTGATGAAATCGGCTGCTTCATGCAGACTGAGCAATTCTGATTATAGTATCAGATTTGTTCTGTATACAGAGGAACTGGGAGTGCTTATTAAAAACTTCTCACCAATAAAGTAATGATCTTCTTGTAAATTTTGCATATAATTTTATTAATATTTTATTTTATTTAAGCATATTATTTTTGTTACAGTCAATTTGCATTAGCATATGATACAAGAGATTTAATATTACTTGCTCGTTTTTGCGTAAAATAATCAATATTTACTTTACTTGTAATTACCTTTGAAAGTTTTCTTCAAGTTTTTTTTTGTGATCTGAAAATTTACCCAGCTTGGTTAGAAGTTTCGAAGCTAACGCATGTCCACAGGCCTAATAGAAAGATAGGCAGAAAAAGTGTATCATGAAGAATGGTTGCATGCAGGGTTGCTTCCACTCACTTGCTATAGATGAGTGATTTTCGGAGTTATGAATTCGTTAGATGTTGTAATGGAGATTTGTGCTGTTGGATGCGGAAGGAGATTGGAGGGCGGGTGTTTGACGCATAGAGCCTGTCAATTTCGCTTTCAGAGTGTCGCAGTCAGCGGTTTTATGATTCGTGAGCGCCCGCGATTCGTAGAATCGTTGATTGTGACTGCAAGTGGATTTGACGGGTTTTGTGTTTCGGACGCTTGTTTTTGGCCTCTTCTTGTGTCTAACATGTGCAGAGTATCATTATAACGTCTAATGGTTTTGAGATTCCTGGTGGCGTGAAATATATTTGTGAGAATATCTTTTTGAGATTTTAGCAGTCACGTTTTGTTTGTAGTTTATATTTTATTTATTCATGTAATTATCGTAAATAATAGTTATTCAATAATAGATAGTTCATCCATATATTCGTACTTTGACGCGAAGCGCTGTGGATTATGAGATGCTCGATGACCCTGGAGGGATCGATTTTGCTTACTGAGCAGAAAATCATAGATTTAACCCCAAGCTCTTCCACAGCACAATAAATCGCCACCATCATTTGTATATTTGATATTGAACATTAACCTCGGAAACTATTTGCATATCAAGCGAAAACGTAGTCCTGTATTGTCGCGAAGCGTTATGGTTCTGAGATGCTCGATGACCCTGGAGGGATCGTTTTTGCTTACTGAGCAGAAAATTATGGGTTTAATCCCAAGCTCTCCGTCATGACTCTTAAAATTCATTATCACTAAACAAAATTAATATATTCTTTCGATAGCCGGCTATCGAGAGATTAAATAAACAACAAATAAACAATACATACTTTTGGTTGCATCGCCAACTTGAGGTGAATACTAACCGAATACCCTACCCAACCCTCCAACTCCGTAGCACTTATGAGGGTGTCGCTAAGTCAGTGGCCTCTCGTTAAGTAAGTACTACATCAACATTTCCTTCCCTATCCCTAGTTATGGTAAAGATGGGCGTGGCCGGGAATAGCGACAGTCATGCTTCTGTTACTCTTGTTTAGATTGGAACCAATGTTTACTGCTCAGCATTATTCCTGAAAGTAATCTAACTGAGAATTTCAGAAGAGACGTGAGTGTCGCTAGTATCCAATCTACGAAGTATATCATAACAACGCTAACGCTAAAGTTAAGAAAATTCTCAGAACACAAGTTTCAGTCATCACCAAACACACTCGCACGTCCATGCGAAAATACGAGAGACAAATAGTAGCGGAACTGGCGAGCTGTTGTACTATGGGCGGAGAAAAGCCAAATGAGAATCATATTCTACGAGGGAAAACCGTGACCAAAAAATTCGAGCCCTTCAAATGAGATTTTGGAGCCATATTATCAGAATGGAGGACAATCATCTGCTGAAACTAGCTGCTAAATATAGAAAGCATTATGGAAATATAGGACGACCATCATTCACTTGGTTCGATATAATTCGACAAAATGTTGAAAGATTTGGGGATCTAAGTGTAGAAGAATGGGAGGATCTGGCCAGAGACAGAGAGAAAGTGACAAACAAAATCGAGGTGATATATGATATTAATGAGTCAGTTGATTCCGATGAGCAGTAAGATTCGATGATTAAGGTATACAATTATAATACTCTATCTCTGTATTCTCTTGTTAATATTTTTTTATTTTGATAATGATGGTAATACTTGATAGATTGGCACCATTTTTATTTAAAAGTTGCGTTTGCTCTGAACCCATTGATTCAGTCATTTTAAACTAAGTTGAAGCAAAAGAATGAACGGGTGTATGTAAGGAAATAACTTCACTTTATTAAAAAGGTAAGCATATCATTGATTGCATTTATATAAATTATTTATCTCATGTTTATATTGTCGAGTAGAGCATCCTTATATTCCCCTTCCCCTACTAACACGATTTCCATATCCTGTGACGTCTATGAAGGTAGTATGGGTTCCCTGCACCTTCTTAAGCAGATGTTCAACTAACATTCCTACCTTCCCTCTGCGATTGTAAGGACGTAGCCAGGTATATAATGCGAGGTTTGTTTTGCAGATTGCATGGTATGGAAAAAGGATATTAAACCCAAGTATCCTTTTTGCGACAACATATTATGTTTTTGCGGAATATACGAGCTGATAATTATATATCCACCTATGATTTGTGCAATCGCATATAATATATTATAATATATTCAACCGTTGAACAAAACGTTATGGGTGGAATTAGGAAGAATGTTCGGTCATTTGGATTTGGTGAAGAAATAGAGTGGAAGATACGTAAACCAAGCTTATATATAGTATTAAGTTCCCTGAAAATTTAATGACAATCGGTTGAGA